CTCCGAACTACTCAAAATTTCCGCTACCGGTTCTCCAGAACCTGTCAGAACCTGCTGGATTTCACCTCTGCTTTGGAGAATAGGTTGGTTTGGTCCCTATTCTTCAGTCTTCTCTGTGACAGCTCCTTAAATATTGGAACATTGCTATCATGTCATCCCTAGTCCTTCTGTTCATTAAACTAGGCATATTCCTGCAACTGTTCTTCATATGTTTTTAGCATCCAGTCCCTATTCACCTTTGTTGCTCTTCTCTGCTCTCTTTCTAGAGTCTCAACTTCTTTTTCATATCATGGTGATTAAAACTGGATGCAATATTCCAAGTGTGATCTTACCAAGGCATTCGGTTTATGTGATTTACCAGTACTACCACCCACTCTCATACGGCCCAGAATATCCAGGGTTGTTACAGTGGGATATTGCACAATCCAAGTATCAGACCTAATACCAAAGTTTAGTACAACTCTTTTTAAAACAGATCATTCTTTGTTAACAAAGATCCTTACTGATATTCACATATGCTTATACTACAACAGAGGAGGTCTTCTCTCAGGATATGATGGATTTCTTTGGAGGTCAGGGCATGCAGGCTTCAAAAGTGGTGGGTTTTTTTGGTCATCCTAGCTCGTTTGGAGGTCAGCCATCTGCTTTTCAGATAACAGGTCTTTTATTAGCAAATCCTTTCGTGTAGCAGCTTCAGTGTTCTTGTATCTCCATCATGGCAGGCTGGAATCTGCCCACCATTTCTGATGTTTCAGCTTTCCAAGTGAACCCAATTTCTCCCCACACTTCATCTGCTTTCAGCTTTTTGATCTTGCTCATAACTCATTCTTTTTGCTCTTGCAATATTTTCCCACTTGTCCTCCATTCGTTTCCTTAAGTGCTTACAGTGCATTTGGGCTGTAATCAGAGAGTATAGATGTCCCAGTAATAATCATAAACAAGTAATTAGAACAAATCAGTTAGGTATACAAACGGTACTAAGTATGAGATTCACCCCACCAGAAATTTTATAAGATGCAACAAGAGAAGCAGCCACCCAACTGATTCTCTGTAAATATCTTGGATTTCAGTTCCTTTGTCAATATAATCAGTAACTATTTTGGTTGGCATTTACCAATCCAGATTTGTTGGACTTCAATTCCTGCTGTTCTTTCTTGCTGGAAGACAATAATGGGAATCCAACTTCAGGGGGGAGGCTGAGGGTTTGGGGAAAGCTAATCCAACTAAACTAAATACTTATAAAGGAGAATATTTGTAGCTCAGGGTTGAAATGAAGAGTCCTTGTTGCTCTCTGAGCTTGGTTGTTTCCTTCCAGCGCTGAAGATGCCACCTAGTTTGGGTATTGAAACATCTGCAAGAAAACAACCAAGTTCAGAGAGCAACAAAGACCCCTCAAACCAATGCTTAGTTTAATAACACATATAGCTTTGATTTAATTGCATGGATTACTAAGATTACATTCCAGAAATTGGTAGGGGTCAGGACAACATTTTAAGATTTATTTTAACTAGAATTAAATAGCAATAGCATTTAGACTTATATACAGCTTCACAGTGCTTTACAGCCGTCTCTAAGTGGTTTACAGAGTAAAAATATTGCCCCCAACAATTTGGCCCCTCCTTTTACCCACCTCAGAAGGATGGAAGGCTGAGTCAACCTTGAGCCTGGTGAGATTTGAACTGCCAAATTTCAGGCAGACAGCAGAAGTAGCCTGCAGTAGTGCACTCTAACCACTGCGCCACCGTGGCTCAATTAATTCCATTATTACCTATCACCATTCCATGCTGAAATGGGGTTCGGTAGGTTGCAGTTTTGCATCTTGTGGGACCTAGTCATTTTCTTAAAATCTTGTGAATTGGGTCATCATATTAAACCATAATGTAGTTTCTTTGAAAATGAATATATCCTGTGAATAAGTAATTGTGATTTGTTAGTCCTGTTCTTGGATAGAATGTGTTGTGTGAATTTAAGTTATGTATTAAATAATTGCCACACTTTGGCTCAAGAAAATATTATGGCTAGGCTTTTTATGTTTCATCCAAAGCTTTACAGATAGGATGGAGTAAAAGAGGAACATGGAGAAGAGGAAACACAGTGCTCAAGACAGAGGAAAAGGGGGAAAAAATCAAACTGTTTTAGTGATCAATCTTTATTTCTATGGCCCGGCACATTTCAGACTTCATGTTGCTCTTGTTCAGGAACATGAAAAAAAAAAAACCCACATAAAATATTGTGATTATTGTATATGTTATTAGGAACTGGGATATGTTATCAATTCCCCACCCAAAACCCCTTAGGAACAATGTACTGCAACATTTATTATAGTTAAACATGCAAGACACCTGAAAAAAAATCATTTGTCAAAAACAATATTTAAAAAAACATAACAGACAAATTTATTTTAAAAAGGAGCCCTTAATGCAGCTTGTCACATCAATAAAAAATAACACATCTTTTTCCAATTAAAGGGAGAAGAAAAGCTTATTTTTTTCATTCTGTGATACAGCACAAACTCAAATGTTTACAAGCTTCAGAATAAGAAGATTCCCGCTGCTACAACTATTTAGCAGCTGTGTTAATCAAAGACTTCTTGCAATAAGAAGTTAAAAGGCTCTGACCCGGACTTTGTATGAAAGTATGAATCAGCAAAAGAAAAGTGAGAGTCTCTGCATTCTCACATTTTAGAGGATATTAACACTCCTTTACTATGTAAACAGCAAAAACAAAATGTCTCTAAATTCCCAGATAATGAGATAGCACAGATTTGTATCAGGGATAGAAAATTCTTCTCCTTACTAAGATGATAATCACTGTAACTACAAGATCTAGTGTAAAAGAAATCTTACAGTAAATTAACCATTTATGTTTATTTATCATGTTTCCCTGAAAATAAGACCCTGTCTTATATTTTTTTTAACCCCGAAATAAGCGCCTGGCCTTATTTTTGGGGAGGTCTTATTATTTTGGGGCATGTGGAACAAGATGGGGCTCCTCTTGCCGTCTTACCTGATTTCCAGCTCTGCATTTAAATATTTTTGGGTAGAGGCTTATTTTAGCGCATGTGCTCAATAGCCCGATTGGGCTTATTATCAAGGGATGTCTTATTTTCGGGGAAACTGGGTATCATTTTTTTGGTAAATAAAATGCCACTTGTGCTGAGAGTCATAGAGGCATTTTTCACACTCAACCTGGTTTTATATCTATTCCATATTCTCAATATGACATACCAATCAATCAATCAATCAATCAATCAATCAGAATAGAGCTGGAAGGGACCTTGGAGGTCTTCTAGTCCAACCCCCTGCTCAAGCAGGAGATCCTATACCATTTCAGACAAGTGACTGCACAGTCTCTTCTTAAAGACCTCCAGTGATGAAGCACCCACAATTTCTGAAGGCAAGCTGTTCCACTGGTTAATTCTCCTCACTATTAGAAAGTTTCTCCTTAATTCCAGATTGCTTCTCTCCTTGATTAGTTTCCATCCATTGCTGTTTGTCTTGACTTCTGGTGCTTTGGAAAACATGTTGATCCCCTCAAATACCGGAATACTGCTATCCTGTCACCCCTAGTCCTTCTTTTCTCTAGACAAGCCATACCCAGTTCCTGCAATCGTTCTTCGTATGTTTTAGTCTCCAGGCCCTTAATCATCTTAGTTGCTCTTCTCTGCACTTTTTCCAAAGTCTCAATATCTTTTTTTGTAACGTGGTGACCAAAACTGGATGCAGTATTCTAAGTTATTCTAATAACTAATTCTTAATTATTAAACGGAGGTTTAATAAAGCAGTATTAATACTTCATGTAATTGTGATTCTATGCCTCTGTTTATGCAACCAAGGATTGTATTAGCTTTTTTGGCTGCTGCTGCACACTGCTGGCTCATATTTAAGTCATCATCCACTAGGACTCCAAGATCCCTCTCACAGTTATTGTTTTTGAGCCAGGTTTTGCCTAATTTGTACTTGTACCTTTTGTTTTCCTTGTCTAAGTGTAAAATCTTGCTTTTCTCCACATTAAATTTCATTTTGTTGGATAGGACCTATTGTTCAAGCCTATTATCCATTTGGATCCTGAGCTTGTCTTCTGGGATATTGTTTATTCCAGCTTAATGTCTTCTGCAAATTTGATGAGTTCCCCCTCTATTCCCTCATCTAAATCATTTATGAAAATATTGAAGAGTACTCGACCTAAAATGGTACCTTGTGGTACTCCACTGCTTATTTATCTCCATGTAAGTATAATACCATTAAGGACTACTTAATGAGCCACGTTGGTGCAGTGGTGAGAGTGCAGTACTGCAGGCTGCTTCTGCTGCCTGCCGGCTGCCTGCAATTTGGCAGATTGAATCTCACCAGGCTCAAGGTTGACTCAGCCTTCCATCCTTCTAAGGTGGGTAAAATGAGGTCCCAGATTGTTGGGGACAATATGATGACTCTGTAAACCACTTAGAGAGGGCTGTAAAGCACTGTAAAGTGGTATATAAGTCTAAATGCTATTGCTATTGCTACTTGTTGAGTATGATTTGTCAGCCAGTTACAAATCCGACTGGTGGTGATTATATCTATCCCATATTTTTCTAGCTTACCAAGAAGTAGGTTGTGGTCTATTTTGTCGAATGCCTTATTGAAATCTAAGTATACTATATTCACAGCACTTCTAGCATAATAATTTTTAAAATCTACATTAACCTTAGCTTTATCATACTATAATTGTCCATACCACCCAAATCTTAGATTGTGTCCTTCTAACTACAAAAGCTAAGAAATTGCCCCAAAGGTAAATATCATTGAATATATGTGAAGTATGAAGCATAAAATCTCCTAAATCAGTGGTTTTAGAAATCAAGGTAGTTTGGAGGAACCTTCTTCCATTTTTATTAAAAAGTCCTGGAAAAGAATCTGATGATCATGAAAATACACCTCAAATTGTTTCTCTGCCATTTCTAGAATATTCAGCTCTGTTCTTATCTCTAACTTCTGCTATCTCCTTTCTACATTTTCTAGTTTCTAGACCACAGAGATCTCCTGAAGACCTGAAAATGCTAATGGGAAATGTGAATCAGTTAAATGAAAGTTTTCAGAATCTTCAGTTGAAAACAGGGAAGCAGTTACCCTTCAAAGGAGACATCCTGGACCAAATTTGGAGCCTGCAGGACATGCTTCAGAATCATTCTGACTCTCTACTAATATTGAGCAGCTCACTTCAGAAGTTGGAAGGGGCACTCAGGAGCCTGCAGACCCAGGCAACTCAGGCAGATCAAGTCCTTTCTGGCCTACGGGATAGCCTGAGCCAGCAAAATGACATGGCACAAATGGAAATCTACAAGCTTGCTGTAGAGGGAAATAGTAGCAGTTTGCTTTTGAGGCACCATGAGGACTTACTCTCTAAACTGGCATCTCAAGTGGAGAGCTTGAATGACCAACTGACAGAGGTAGGTGGGCATGTGGGTAGCATGAACCGGACTCTGTCTTATGATGTGGGAATCCACCACACCCGTATCCAGGACCTGCAAGTCCTTATCAGCAATGCCTCAGAAGATGCTCGGCAGATGCGCTTTGTCCACATCGCCATGGAACAGCAGCTCAAACATGAGCTGGCCATTCTGAACAACGTGACCGAGGACCTGAGGCTCAAGGATTGGGAGCACTCCGTTGCCTTGAGGGATATCTCAGTGATACGAGGTAAGGAGCGCAGCAAATGCCTCTTGGATTCAGGTGTAATTCAATGTTATCAAATTGAGGGCACTTCATGACTAAAGGCCATGACTAAATACCTATGAGACAGTGGTGAAATCTAAAGTTTGCTACTACCGGTTCTGTGGGCGTGGCTTGGGGGGGTAATGTGATTGGGTGGCCGTGGCCATTTTTTTTTTTACTTTTAAAACCATTTTTTCTACAATCTCTTCAGTGAAGAGATTTAAAAAAAATGCTTTCAAAAGGCTCTGAGGATCCCAGCTGAGTTGCCTGATCATCAGAGGCTTTTTTTCTTTTAAATGCCTCTGCCGATCAGGCAACTCAGCTTGGATCGTCAGAGGCATATAAAAGAAAAAAAGCCTCTGCCGATCAGGCAACTCAGCTGGGATCCTCAGAGCCTTTTGAAAGCATTTTTTTTACAACCTCTTCGCTCTGAAGAGGTTGTAGAAAAAATGCTTTTAAAAGCCTTTGACGATCCCAGCTCAGCCGCGCGATCATCAGAGCCCTTTTTTTTTACTTTTAAAAGCATTTTTTCGGCCAAAGAGATTGTAGAAAAAATGCTTTTAAAAGTAAAAAAAAAAAAGCCTCTGAAGATTGTGCGGCTCAGGGGGATGGGGGGGGGGGCAGGGATTTTTGCTACCGGTTCTCCGAACCACCCGCCTCCATCGCTACCGGATCGGGCGATCTGGTCTGAACTGGGAACATTTCATCCCTGCTTTGAGACCATCTTCTCTGGATTGAATCTGCCTGCCCAGTGAAATCAGGAAGAATGGGCTTGCTGAGGATTTCTTAGTTAAAGCAATGTCATCTATAGGGATCATGAGGGTGAGTCTTTTCAGTGATAGCTCCCTTCTTTGGAACAGTTATTCCTCATTATTTTTCCTATTCGAGTTGAATGGGCTTCTGAAGGGCCATGACAACTTTGCTCTTTAGGAATGCTTTTGGGAATGTGGAGGTTTAGCCTTTGGTGCTATCATGATATATTGGTAGTGTTTATGTGTTGGATGTCTTTTAGCCCTATTGTGGCCTTCTATGAGCCCACTTGAAGCCTGTGAGAATTTACTAGCTATATGCATATGTAGCTTAGAACAAAGCAGTAAAGCTATATACAATGCATTCAGCTAATCTTTTGTACATTATATATGAGCTGTGGGGATGCACTGGTTAGAATGCAATATTGCAGCGTAAGTCTGCCGATTGCCAGGATTTTGATCCTGACCGGCTCAAGGTTGACTCAGCCTTCCATCCTTCTGAGGTCAGTAAAATGAGGACCCAGATTGTTGGGGGCAATATGCTGACTCTATAAACTGCTCAGAGAGTGCTGTAAAGCACTAGGGAGCAGTATATACAGTAAGTCTAACTGCTACGATTGGAGACAACACCGAGATGTCACACGGAAGGAATGACTGATGTATTAAATGTTTGTTTGTTTTAAAAAAATAAAAAACTTTTTAAAAAAGTCTAAGTGCTATTGCTATTGCTCTAGCACAGTAGAAAGGTGGGATATACATTTTTTATAATAAAATACATTTTGACCATTCCAATTTATTCATGGGCCATATTGTAGAGGTTTAAATATATTGTCTACCAGAGCTGATGAAGTCTCATCCCCTGCATGATATATGCAGTATTAATTAACTTAATCTGGAATCATATCCCTCCCCACCATCCCCGAGATCCATATGGCTTTCCCCTGATTACATTCTAGCCATTCTCCCATGTTTGGGGGCAGAATGAAAATGTAGCCCCTGCTGTTTGCATTTTCTTCGGTTGTATATTGTTTCTGGGTCTATTCGTGATTCTTTTTTATGTCTTGTATTTTTTGAACTTTTAATTTTAAGGCTTCTAGTGTTATTAGCAGGGACGCGGTGGCTCAGTGGCTAAGATGCTGAGTTTGTCGATTGAAAGGTCAGCAGTTCAGCGGTTCAAATCCCTAGTGCCATGTAAAGGGGTAAACTCCCATTACTTATCCCAGCTTCTGCCAACCTAGCAGTTCGAAAGCACGTAAAAAATGCAAGTAGAAAAATAGGGACCACCTTTGGTGGGAAGATAACAGTGTTCTGTGCACTTTTGGCGTTTAGTCATGCCAGCCACATGACCACGGAAACGTCTTCGGACAGTGCTGGCTCTTCGGCTTTGTAACGGAGATGAGCACTGCCCCCTAGAGTCGGGAACGACTAGCACCTTTACCTTTACCTTTTAGTGTTATTGGTACTTGGGCTATCTATACATTGTATAAATATCTTGTAACTATAGGAGCAAAATTTCTTAAAATCTGGGACAAGGGAAATAGGGTGAGAACACCGAATAAGTCTGTGTGAGGACAAAAAGCATTGTTTTTATTCTTATTTGGATTTGTGACATCATTGGGTAGCTAATAATTAGCTATGTGGTGCCATCAAGAAAATATATTCAGATTAAATGTATTGTTCTTGCTCATTTCTGGTTGTGACGTTATTATGTGACAAAGAGATCCCCACCCCATATTGCCTATATCAGGGGTCTGCAACCTTAAACACTCAAAGAGCCATTTGGACCTGTTTCCCACAGAAAAGAAAACACCAGGAGCCACAAAACCTGGGTGGGCTGCAGGTTGCTGACACCCGGCCTATATGATCTGAACACAGAAATTCTGTTTCAATCTACATGAAAAAATTAAAGAGAGAAATGCTTCCTTTTCAACTAGCTTCATGCTCACAGTGACTTTGCCACCTAGTGGCGAGACTTCATGTGTTTGGCCTTTTCTTCTAGAACAAAATGTAATTATGGATATTTGACAAAATAGTTCCAGTATTGTTGTTCTGGTCCATGGATTCAGATGCTGATCAAATTCTAAATTAAGCTATGCTTGAAATACCAGCAATTTGATTGAACAGTTAAACCCATCAAATGCTCAGTTTGTTTTGTATCTGTAATACATTTTCCCCTCACTTTCTTCCCAGCGGCCAATGTTGCATAATATGATTTTGACCAAGGAGTTGACTTTGGGTTTTGAATTGGCATTAATTTCTTAGGGATGGATAGATCATTCTGTCAGCTTCACACATGATCATTCATTCTGCCTCTCTCATATTTGTAGGGCTATTTCCAGATGGTGTCAATTTTACACATGTTACCCATAAATCCATTTAATCTAATATCCAGACTACTATGTAATATTTTTAAATGCACAAAAATACACAAATATATATCAAAATGGATTTTCTGTCACAGCATGTTTTTATAAATGTATTTCACCCAAATCATTCACATATGGATTTTTATTTTTTTTCTTCAAATATGGCTTTAAAAAAAAAACTTTTTGGTAAAATTTTGAAGGTGAGTCTAGGAATTAAGGAACAAGTCACTTTTAATCACTAGTTATAAAGAATTAAAATGTTCAAGTATTCTTAAAACCTCCTGTGCAGCTTTCCATATATTTTCACATTTTTAAGAAAATTTATTTTAACTAGAATTACATGCAATTAATTCCGTTATTGGAATTATTGGAAAGATGAATTCGGTAGAGCTGAATTCAGTAGAGTTGGAGAAAGCTGGCTATCATTTTAAATGTACTAAATGCATGGTGTCTCACAACAGTCGCTCAGTTCTTCTCACCCTGCAGATGGTTTACAGCAGCGGTGTCATTATATTGAGGGCCACATCAGGTTGTGTTTGACCTCCGGGGAGGGGAGAGCTGGGGAGGTGTGGCCAGAGTGGGCATGGCCACCTTGACATCGCTGGTGTCGGGGGCACCTCAGGGCCATGCACAGCTCTTCCGAGCTCTGTTTCTGCTAGCAAAGGTACCATGGGCCAGTCCTTCGCTGTTTCCAAGGCAGCCCCACGGGCCAGATCTAAGCACCCCGTGGGCCGGCTCTGGCCCGCAGGCCTTGAATTTGACACTCCTGGTTTACAGGATTATGGTAAAGCACTCTACTTGATGTTGCCTATGAATATGATTTAGAAACTACAATCAAATAGTGCAGTGTTGGCTAACCTTTTCGGCACTGAGTGCCGAAACGGGAGCGGCGTGCACGCATGGGGGAGCGTGTGTATGTGCACGTGGGAGTGCTAGAAACCAAAGAGCAGTTCCCTGGCACACACGCGTGGAAGCACTAGAAACCTGGTCTTTTGGTTTCTGGCATGCATGCGCGTGCAAAGACCAGCTGGCCGGCGTGCATGTGCATGCCAGAAACCAGTTGTTCAGCTACCCTGCATGCATCTGCGGGCCAGGGAGCTGCTCTTCTGGTTTCCAGTGCTCCCGCATGGAACCCAAAATAGCAATGGGTGATGACTGGCGTGCCTGGAGAGATGGCTCTGCATGCCACTTCTGGCACGCGTGCCATAGGTTCGTCATCACAGAAATAGTGGATCAGACAGTTTGACAGAATGACACCTATTCTTTGAGAGCTGCATTGATTTCCAGTAAGTTTCCAGGTACCTATCAATGTGCTAGACATTACCTATATAGGTACTTCTCAACTTACAACCATTCTTTTAGTGACTGTTCGAAAGTATGACAGATCTGAAAAAAGTGACTTATGATTGGTCCTTGCACTTATGACTGTCGTAGCATCCCTGAGGTGACATGATCAAAGTTTGGGTGCTTGGCAACTGGCATGTTTATGACAGTTGTAGTGTTCCACGGTCACATGATTGCCACTTGCAACCTTCTCAGCTAAACTTCCAATAAGCAAAGTCAATGGTCCAAGATGGACTGGCTCAACACAGAAAAAAAAAAAAAGGTCATAAAAGTGGGTGCAATTCACTTAATGACCTCATTGCTTAGCAGTGGAGGTTCCAGTCCCAATTGTGGTTGTAAGTTGAGGACTATCTGTAAAGCTCTTTAGGGTTCAGATTTTCTACAGTTCTTGTAGAAATCTCTGCTCCGACTGGAATTTTCCAATTTTGTGCACTCTGATTGGGAGAATGTGCTTCTGATTCCACCTCCCCAGATGGTGTGGAAGCAGGAACACAGAGATAAGACTTTTCCATGGCTGTCATACTGTAATTCTTTGGAATTAAGGAGGATGTAAGGTTCCTCTCCTTTTCCACTGGTGACAAGTGTGGTAGTGCTATATAGCAGAGGTCTCCAACCTTGACAACTTTACGACTTGGGGACTTCAACTCCCAGAATTCCTCAGCCAGCGGCTGAGGAGTTGAACTGGGAGTTGAAGTCCCCAAGTCATAAAGTTGCCAAGGTTGGAGACCCCTGCTATATATGGTGTTCTCAGAAGGCTGATGTCAATCTTTTACACTGATTATACTCTATAGCTTAACAATGTAATGGTTTTATATTGGTTTATCTTTTCATGTTTTCATTACTTTCATTTCTGTGACCAGCTTAGATGGCGGCAGAGAACAAATGCTAAAAAAAGAGAGAGCAAAAGAGAGTGAATGCTTAAATGCAAGCAGGAGCTTAGACAGTATCTTGACACCAGAAACAAGTTGCTCTGCCTGAGGATTTTCCAAGTCATGGAGCAAAATGATTAGCCCTTGTCAGTTAGGTGACTAGTACTCAGAGGTGGGTTTCAGCAGGTTCTGACCAGTTCTGGAGAACCGGTAGCGGAAATTTTGAGTAGTTTGGAGAACTGGTAGTGGAAATTTTGAGTAGTTCGGAGAACTGGTAAATACCACCTCTGACTAGCTCCGTCCCCATGTATTCTCTGCCTGCCGAGTCCCAGCTGATTGGGAGGAAATGGGGATTTTGCAGTAACCTTCCCCTGGAATGGGGAGGGAATGGAGATTTTACAGTATCCTTCCCCTGGAGTGGGGTGGGAATGGAGATTTTACAGTATCCTTCCCCTGCCATGCCCACCAAGCCAAGCCAAGCCACGCCCACCAAGCCATGCCACGCCCACCAAGCCACACCCACAGAACTGGTAGTAAAAATTTTTGAAACCCACCACTGCTAGTACTGCATGCTCCATGGTCCTATTGGAATACAGAGATCAGTCTGACAGATTTGATCAGCTGTTCTTTGATTTTCCCACCCTCTTCTTGTTTCCCTGAATGACTAGAACCTGCACCTTAGCCTTCCCCTGCCTCAGGCTGCTAAATATATAATTCTAAATATATGATTCTGACCCCCTTAAACCAGGGGTGGGGAATGATGGCCCTTTTATGACTTGTGGACTTCAATTCCATGCTGGCTCAGATATTCTGAGAGTTGATGTCCACAAGTCATAAAGGGGCCATCGTTCCCCACTCTGCCTTAATCCAAGTGTTGTTTTAGCCTCCTAAAATATGACATCCTCTGCAGTGTATATTTATCTATCCCACAAATTCCGGAGCACCAAAAAAGGATCACAGGGACTAAGGATGGGAATGTAGACCAAATCATCAGGGAAAGGTCAAGTTATAAAAAGAAAGAGCAGGAGCTTAGTTATTAAATGAGTAGAGAGCTTTGGGGCTAAAGCTTGATAGAATATGATAGAAATGGATTAGCATTGGACAGGAAACTGAGCGGTTGCTCCAGACGGCTGAACCATTAAGATAACGCAGATGATATGAGGCTCCGGTACTCAGCTGGTAGGACCTTCAGTTGAGGTTCATTCATGAGTTTGATTGCCCCTGAGAATCCCAAATACGGCTGATGGTTTCTTTGCTATCCTTTGACAGTTATAACATACACCAATGCTTTTTTCACATTCTAGGGCCACCAGGACCAAAAGGAGATCAAGGCAATGAAGGAATGGAAGGTGAACCTGGCCGACCTGGTACGCCTGGACTGCAAGGTAGTGTGTTATTATTCAAAGTGTTTATGTGAATCCCATGCTGTTACTGAGTGACTATAGCAGAGACGCAGAAAGCCCAAACTCTCTCAGTCCTTGTGATTTCTTCTAGGAAATCCTAAAAGGAAAAAAACAACAACTCCCTAAGCATTGTCTGCTAAAAGAGGATAATAATAATATTATCCTAAAAGAGGATAATAAGATGACTGGGAAGATCCCTTTTTGCTCAAGATCCTGAGACCTTCTGTTATTCCTTCATAGGGTTCAATGGACGGGTCTGATTAAAAAGCTGTTTCCTGGGCAAAATAGGTGGCATTAAAATTTGAGTTTTTAAAAATTCTGCTGTTATAGAATTATAATAGCATGTATTCATGTATCATACACATTTGCTCTTGAAGCAAATTTTTCTCTCTGCTCCCTGATTTAATTTGATGATATGCAATTCCTCTTGATTGCATGCAAGTCCTCTTCATGTTTTTATTTTAGCAAACAATAGACATTTAAAAGATTATTGTGGCATTTACGAACCATCCTCAGTTTATATTGGCACTGGATCATTAGCAACTCTTAGCTGCATTTCAACTGCAGGAACAGGGAAGTGAGAGAGATGCTTGCAAATCTGGTGCTTGAAGGAGGGGTGGAATTAGGAGGGTGGGGTTTATTTTGTGGGTTCTTAGGGAGCCTCTGAAGGTTTCAAAAACCACTTCTCCCCTCTTTTGAAACCAATGTTTGTAAAGGGAAATTAAATTAAATCCCTGAAAGAGATTTGGAAGCTAAATAGAAGCTTATGTTATATATGTTGTTAAAGGTTCTGGCCAAAGAACCAGGCCATTATTAACTGCTCACAATTGGCTGAAATTTCTGCCCCAGCAGAATTAAGACAGAAAGTTTGTGGAGAATCAGTTGCCTTGAGATATATGAGAACAGTCCTTTCACAGTGTTCAGCCACTGTTTTAAAGCAGAGACTGTCCAGGGTTTAAGAAGTTTTCTTACCTGGGAGTCCTAAGGAGGATTTATCCAGCTCTTCTGGTAATCCCTTTGTTGAAGGAAAATTAAATTCAGAATTACTCCTGCACTTCTTGTGAACTCCTTTTAATCATCAAGATTACTGAATATTTTTTTATTTGGGATATATTCTATCAATGGCTAGACAATAAAAACAGAAGTTAGAAAGGAGGAGATATAAAAAGAGGAAATGTTAAAGAATAGAATAGAACAGAACAGAATTCTTTTTTGGCCAAGTGTGATTGGACACACAAGGAATTTGTCTTTGGTGCATATGCTCTCAGAGTACATAAAAGAAAAGATTCATTCATCAAGAATCATAAGGTACAACACTTAATGATAGTCATAGGGTACAAATAAGCAATCAAATCATATTAGGAAACAATCAATATCAGTATAAATCATAAGGATACAAGCAAAAAAGTTACAGTCATGCCATCGTAAGTGGGAGGAGATGGGTGATAGGAATGATGAGAAGACTAATAGTAATAGTAATGCAGCCTTAGTGAATAGTTTGACAGTGTTGGGGGAATTATTTGTTTAGCAGAGTGATGGCGTTTGGGAAAAAACTGTTCTTGTGTCTAGTTGTTTTGGTGTGCAGTACTCTATAGTGTTGTTTTGATTGTAGGAGTTGAAACAATTAATGTCCAGGATGTGAGGGGTCTGTAAATATTTTTACAGCCCTCTTTTTGACTCATGCAGTATACAGGTCCTCAATGGAAGGCAGGTTGGTAGTAATTGTTTTTTCTTTTTCTAAAAAGTGTTTTAATGTGGAGAGTTGTTAAAGAAGATGATGTAAAGTATTATTGTTATTATATTATTAATATTATGGTGATGAATATTACAACAAATACGTGGATTATGATTGTTTAAAAATAACTGCATCCAGATCACACACAGTTTGATGGAAATTGAATGTTATATAAATAAAACAATTCAAACATGGGGGGAAAATCATCAAGATGATCTGGAAGCAGCCAAAAACCAGAAGAAACTATGTTGTAAAAAAGACAATACAATATTGTGATAGCTTAACAGAATAACAGAGTTGGAAAGGACGTTGAAAATCTTCTAGTCCAACCTCCTCTTCAAGCAGAAGATCCTATAGCAATTCAGATGAATGGTTTCCCTGTCTCTTCTTAAAAATCTTCAGTACTGAAGCACCCACAATTTCTGAAGGCAAGCCATTCCATTGATTAATTATTCTAATTTAATTATCATCTTAAATGTCTTTCCTGAACACACAGACCTGGTACCTGAACTTTCCTGAACACACAAAGGTGGTGCCCCAAAGTCAACACATAGACACATACAAAGGGGAGGAAGATCTGTTCACTCAGCAAAGATAAGGATATTTCCACCAGAGCTGCATCTCCACTATCTGGAATGAGCTCCCCCTGGAGATACGGAGGATCCCGGATCTACGCACCTTCCGCCGCGCTCTTAAAACCTGTTTATTCTATCAGGATGGCCTGGCCTAATTTTTCCCTTTTTTCCTTTTAAAATACAAATTTTAAATTAGTTTTAATTTATTGGGGTGTTTTAAATCGGTCTTCAGCCAAATTATTTAATCCGGTTTTATTCTGTTTTAATTTTTGTACTAATGTGTTTTTATCTTGTGGCTGTTCACCGCCCTGAGTCCTTCGGGAGTAGGGCGGTATACAAATCAAATAAAACATAAAACATAAAAACATAAACACTAGAATAAACATTTCAAACAATTGTAGTAGCTGCAAAATGGAATGTGTGTCCTTGTTCATTGCAGTGTGAGGCTACCAATGAGTTTGGGTCTCCATGCAGGGGATGTCGATAGATTACATTGGAAGTATTTCCCACCTCCAACTGTAATTACTAACCAAGCCTATTTAGTGCAGTTAGTAGTTCCACAATTAGGAGAGCTACGTGGCATGCAGGCTAGGCTGCTAGTTTTTATTATTCTTTATAAAGCATTATGCATGCTTTTTTTAAAAAAAGCAAACTCTACAAATGTCTGAGACTTGTTCTGCTTGAATTGTTTTGTTTTCATCTTGAATGTAGGGTATCCTGGTGAAAGAGGACAACGAGGGCCAAAAGGGGACAAAGGAGATATTGGCCAACGTGGGCTACTTGGCCTCCGGGGAATGACAGGTATTGTATTTGCTGTTTGTTGATGTTCTGATAACAAAACTGGATACAAAACCACCATAATTAACCAAAAGAAGTGTTTGTTCAAATTTCATAATTGGTCTTTCCTGCAAAACTCTAGGTGAAGAAAGCTGTTGATTTCTGATTCAGATAAAACCTATGCCTGCAGCTCTCCTTCTGTAGCCTAAGCTATTGCCTATGTTGAAAAGCCTGGAGTGAAATACTATTATAAAAAAAATCACATTTGGAATTTGAATTCAAATTTGCATTTGGAATTTGATGTTCAAATCTGGCAGCAAATTGAATTCCCAGCTGTAATCTTGTGAGGGCTTTGATTACTTAAATTAGCATGCTCTGTCCAAAAATATTACATTTGATTCCATGTTATAAATTAGGAGCAACATAGTTTGCTATATTATTGGAAGCTAACTATTAAATGCCAGACAAAAATGTTCACATACAACAAACATATCCCAATGACATGACCTTCATCTACAGAGAACTGGGGATGGGCTAGCTCTGTTTGCAAGTGATTGCTGCTTCTTATCTCCTACTACATAGATATATGTACACATGAACTGCATCTTTACAAATCTCTTACAGCTAGAATGTAGATTCAGAATAAACATATCTTCCTGAAGCTCAGCTATTTCACATCTGAATTGCTAGAAGAATTTGTCCTTTACCTTCTTATGGATTAAATGTCAGTTTTTTTTCCCTGATATGCTATTGGAAAGGAGTTAGATGTATTCTGTAAATAATAATGTACAGGCACAGAAGTTACGGCTTCTCTACCATTCCTGCTGAAGTTTCATATGAATGCCCCATCATCTCAGAAGTCTTTCCTTCCTACTGGTTAGGATTCTTGATCTAATCTAGCAAAGGGTCCATGTTCTGGATGCCATGATACAAAACCTTGGAGACAAAACTAGGAGAATATTTATTTAAGTATTGGTATCCTGCCTTTATTATTTTTTATAAATCACTCAACGTGGCGAACATATCCAGCACTCCTTCCTCTTTCTGTTTTCCTCACAACAACCCTGGAAGGTGAGTTGGGCTGAGAGAGAGTGACTGGTCCAAGATCAGCCAGCTGGCTTTCATTGCTAAGATTGAACTTGAATTCACAATCAACCACTTTCTAGCCTGATGCCTTAACCACTAAACCAAACGGGAAAACAGGCAACATTTCTTTAACTTTTTGACTGGCAATCAAGGGGTTGGTGCTTTTTTATTCAAGTAAATGGCATTTTGTTGCTATGGTTAAGTTCGTGGCTTTCACATCCTTCTTGGAGGGGATCACTCCCCCTTGCTTCTCCCTCTCCTCTGTGCATTGGTACTTGCCAGCAAGCAACTTGATAGGTGACTTATGCAAAAATATAAGATCAGAGTCAATTTTCTTTTGATATGAGCCAAGCAATTCCCTTTTAACCGCACAGTCAATTAAATGCATATTTGGGGATTTTCTCTCTCTCTTTTTTTTCTGAGCCCAAGTGGGTGGCATGGGCCACAAAGCACTTTAGAGATTTCAATGGTGTCGAAGGCCAGATCCTATAAAAATGTAAGAAACATCTTGCTGGATCAGACCAAAATGGCTTCACCCAGTTCAACTTTCTGCTTCCAACATCAACCTGTCAGAAGCTTCTGAAAAAAAACACACAGGCTGGGCAGAGTTGTAGTCTCTGATTTATTTGCAGGCTTCCAGTCCTACTCTTTTAAGCTAAATCATGGCTCTCGTGTAGCACTTTAAAACAGCAGGAGGAGCTGAAAAGGTAAGATAGATCATCTTTCTAACCCCCTCCTCTATCTTTTAAGCACTTCATTAAGGTGATGGCAACACAGCTTCCTTGCTCCCCTTTTGCTTTCAGCATCTGGAATCCCATAAAATGCAATCTGGGTACTGCAAACTGACAAACCTGGGGGATGGAAGAATGAACAAATGGGCAGGAGGAACACAGTTTGAGAGGGTGTTTTAAAGATTTTTAAGATGGCATGCTAGCAATGAACTCCTAAGCTAGGGAAAAGAAAGACCATCTGGCTTGGCTCGGTTCCCAGGATGTAAATCTGAATTCCCTACATATAAATTTCCTGATAGGCCCCCATTGCAGCTATTAGGTACACAAAACAGCTCAACCTATTCATTATATATGTGGGGATACATGCCAAATCAAACCACATGTTTAAAAACAAAACCAGCCCTTGAAATTCAACTTCTTATCAGCACAATCTCTTTTTGTGCTGATAAGAAGTTGAATTTCAAGGGCTGGTTTTGTTGGAAGAGAAAACCAGTGAAGGAGATTTGTTTGTGGTCAGAGCTGGCCTTGCAGGTGCTGGATTTAACACATTCAACTTTGTTGAAACTTCTTGAGAGGGAGGCATTTTCTAAAATGAAAACTGCAGCATTCTTGAGCTAACTATTTGTTGGCTCAAGAATGCTGTGATGCCCCCACTGGAAAAAAAACTGAGAACTTAAAAGGAATCCTACAGTTGGTTTTAGGCCAAAGGTGCACCTAATCAAGTATTCTGTTTCCCATATAGCCAATCAGATGACTGTGAGAAGATCCTAGGCAGGTTTGGAAGGTGGGGGCAAGGCTCTCTCCTGCTGTTCCTAGCTGGCAATTAATATACTGAAGCATGGAAATAACACCATCATCACGATGAGTAGCATTTGATTGTGCTCTCCTCCTCCTCTTCCTCTGTGAGTTTCTATAATCCTCTTTCAGAGTTCAAGCCTACGAGCCAGAGGTAGGTTTCAGCAGGTTCTGACCAGTTCTGGAGAATTGGTAGCAGAAATTTTGAGTAGTTCGGAGAACCGGTAGTAAAAATTCTGACTGGCTCCATCCTCATCTATTCTCTGCCTCCCAAGTCCCAGCTGATCAGGAGGAAATGGGGATTTTGCAGTAACCTTCCCCTGGATTGGGGACAGAATGGAGATTTTACAGTAGCCTTCTCCTGTCACGCCCACCAAGACATGCCCTCCAGGCCATGCCATGCCCACCAAGCAACACCCACAGAACCGGTAGCAAAAATTTTTGAAAGCCACCACTGCTACGAGCTATATGAATTAGCATTTCCAATTGCCTTTTTTGGATGATCTCTTGATTCTAGGATTACAAGAAAAAAAATCCTATCCACTTACTGTACTTCACACCTTGCATCAATTTGCACATATCTGCGTAAGTAACATCTTGCCTGTTATAGTATTATCTTCTATAGTGTTATAGAAGAGCAACAAAAATAATTAAGGGACTGGAGACTAAAACATACAAAGAATGGTTGGTGGAATTGGATATGTCTAGTTTAATGAAAAAAAGGACTAGGGGTGACATGCTAGCAGTGTTCCAATATCTCAGGGGCTGCCGCAAAGAAGAGATGGTCAATCTATTCTTCAAAGCACCTGAAGGCAGGACAAGAAGCAATGGGTGGAAACTAATCAAGGAGAGAAGCAACTTAGAACTAAGGAGAAAATTCCTGACAGTTAGAATAATTAATCAGTGGAACAACTTGCCTCCAGAAGTTGTGAATGTTCCAACACCGGAAGTTTTTAAGAAGATGTTGGATAACCATTTGTCTGAAGTGGTGTAGGGTTTCCCTGCCTAAGCAGGGGGTTGGACTAGAAGACCTCCAAGGTCCCTTCCAACTCTGTTATTCTGTTATGTATTGTTATTTTCTAAACTAAAATACTTCTAAAATCTACATCCTTTCCTCATAGGGAAACTAGTCAACCCTGTACTCATTTTGGATTGATCTTTTTTCCCCCTTTACTGAAATAATCTTGTTCAGAAACATATTTTTGCATGTCTGCTCACTGTTTACCATCAAGAGCAAGGGACAAAAATTGCACAGCTGTTCTTTCTTGGCATAGAATTCCACCTCCAATCACATGGTCCATTGAATCCACTATCATCCAATTTGCTTGACAGCTGTTCCTACAGTTCTTTGGAGATCTAATATGTTGCTAAAGATTGGCTTTGAATTTTTGTATAATAAAGAAATGCAAGTGCTGGGCCCTTATTTATGCCCTACTTTACTGTTGAAAAACAGCTGTTTATTAAAGAAAGTGTTCAAATAAATAAGATGATTTTACATCTATTGGAAATAAGCAAGAGAGGTGAATGGCTTCCCTTGAAAAGGTGAGGTTGCCATGCATAATATCCCTGTGAGCACCGAGTTCATCTGGATCTGAATCTGCTTAGCATAATTCCTCTTTGTGGAATAATGCCCTGAGAATAAATCATAAAATTACTTGCAAGACCACCTCCTACCGGCCTCCCACCGCCCAGTGCGCTCACATAGGACTGCCCTCCTCCAGGTGCCATCGGCCAGACAATGTCGGCTGCCGGCCCCCAGGATGAGGGCGTTCTCTGTGATTGCACCGACCCTCTGGAATGGGTTACCCACCGGGCTCTGGACGGCCCCCGACCTCCGCACTTTCCACGCCGACCTAAAGACATGGTTTTTTCAGCAAATTCCCTGATCTGCCGCGAGGTTTTAATTGTCTGGGGATTTTAAATTGGCTTGTTTTAGCACTATTTTATTGTTGTGTTGTTTCTATTCTGTGAGCCGCCCCGAGTCCTACAGGAGAAGGGTGGCATATATAATAAATAAATAAATAAATAAATGCCATAAAACTAAATAGGGACATTTAGCGTTCAAGTCCAATTCTGCACTGCAGAATAGGATTCCCAATTTAAGCATTCCAGATGGGATGTTTGCAGTAGCAGAGATCTATTAATTCCATGCCCTATTTTCTGGGATTGTGCTGATTAATCTGTGACTCTGTATAACTTCCTTTCAAATTCTTGGAGATTGTCATCAGGTCTTCTGTCTAGTTTTCTCAAGGCAAAACACTTCACATTCCTTCATAAGTCTATGTTTTTGATGCTCTGGGTATCCTCATTGCCGTTCCCTAAATCTGTTTCATTGTACTTAACTTACACCAAAAACATAGGGCAAAGTCAGAAAGATCTACACAAGCAAAAGAATCTCATTCTTTACACTGT